TTGGGTTGTGTTGGGCTGTGTTGTGTTGGGCTGTGTTGTGTTGGGTTGTGTTGGGTTGTGTTGTGTTGTGTTGGGCTGTATTGGGTTTATTGTGTTGGATTCTCTCCCCCCCTCCCCTCCCCCCCCCTCCCACCCCTCTCTGTCTGTCCTCTGCTAAGTTGCATTTATCAACTGAAAGGGAAGTGTTTTCAGAGCTAAAGGTGAAGAGAGAGAGAGCCTGAGATGGGTTTTCTTGGGAAATAGGAATTTTGCCAGTTTTCCCAAGGGATCGGGTTGAGAGAATTCCTCCAGGACCATTTCATGAAGGTGAATTCACATTGCTGGTGATTCACAGTTTAAAGGATTATTTTTTTTTGCTGTCTGGTCTACTTTGTGTAACCTTTTCATCAGACTGTTTCCTTGGGTTCTGGATCCCACTACTCTCTCACAGACACCAATTGGATTTGTTGCATTCCCCTTGATGAGAAACTTGTAATCCTCACATTACATTTAAGTGTGCGATTAATCGGTGGACGTCGCAGATATTTTTAAAAATATATATAATTGGGCCCAGAGCAGATAAATACCTGTTGAACAAACAGTTTATTACATCATTTTTTTTTGTGGAGGGCGGCATTAATAATAATAATACTAATATAATGATAATCGTAATAAAATAATAATTTGGTCACTCAATCCACAACTGTTTGTGGGATACTGCTGCGTGCAATTGGCTGCAACATATACATTCAATTCACTTTACAGGATATTCTGTGAAGCGCTTTGAGACGTCTCAATGGTGTAATAAGGAACTATATCAAACACAAAGATTATTATTATTTTTATGATTAACGTATTAGAAGGTGTGTGCAATTTTCTTCTGTATATCTATAAATCTGAAAAAAAAAGCTAAATTCAGTCAGATTGAACTCGATATTTTTACTCAAAAATATCTTCACCAGCGGGTTAGCTGGTGCCCCCAAAATAAAATTGACGGTTCATGTCACGGCTGTGAGACATTGCTGAGCACAAATTGGCTGCCGCATTCACCTACAAAACACACAGTCACTGCAAGTTACATAAATCCTGTGAAACAACAACAACAACAAGATTCCATTTATTGAGCGCCTTTCACGTCGGGAGGACGTCCCAAGGCGCTGGAACGCTTTGAGTTGACCTCCTGACATGAAAGACTCTACATCAGATGCAAAGATTATTATTGTTGTTATTTATTATTAAGAATTGTAGGAGAATTTGAATATGTGTAACGTGACTGGCTCCAAACCCATTAACAAACAACTGCTTTCCCAAATTCTATTTAAGTACATATAAAATTGATTTTAACAGCTGAGCATGAGATTGCACAAATCCGTGATCTAACGATAGTAAATTTGTTGGATGACGTACTGAAATGAATGCATAGAAAGGCTTCTATGTTTTCATAGAAAGGGTTCATGCGCTCTTGAGACGCTAAATTGCGTGGAGGGTGCTATATAAGTGCAAGTTGTTGTTGTTGGGTTCAGCTGAAACTTCATCAAGTGGGATTAGGTGGTATAATACATTTGTAAAAGTCTAAATGTCATTTCGATCCTCTGTATGTGTGGTCGCATGAAACTGATACTGTTTTCTATTTCTCACAATATAGATTGTCTGAAAGTGTCATAATTACAGATATATATATAATCCTAGAGTTTGATATAGCGTTTTTCACAGAATATACGGTAAAGTGAATTGACTGTATATTTGTGTGCAAAATAAATCATAAATAAATCAATGTGGTGCATTGGTGTAAGGTGTGCACTTTGTTCCGAGGGAGATATGCAAAAGCATTTATGTGCTTCTGTTAGAGAAGTAAAGGCAGTGTTGAGTTATCATTTGCCAAATTCAGGAACAAATGTCTCTGGTGTAAAATTTCTGGTCTGTATCATCAGCTTTATTCAAACTCACTGTGTGAACAATATAATCACAAGAAAAGGATTTTTAAATCAACATCTATCCTGTTTTTACTTTACACTTGCGTTTTATATTTTATACTCACTCCAATTAATATTTTATAAATACTTTTTTGAAACAAACTGTACTAGATATAAAATCCAACAACATGTTGCTTCTTCCAGGATAGGACAGATATCATCAAGAATTTATGAATCTCTCACAGTGTGCAGCCTTCTGCAATATAAAGGCAGTAAATTGAGCTCACAAGTTTCTAAGAGAGGTTTACATGACTAAAACTATTGATCTGACCCTGCAGAATATCAATTTTACTGTCTTCACATTACAAGATCATGTTGTTTCTACCCATTATCCTGCCCTCGACTAAATTGTGAATAACCTGATCTGGCAGATGATGGCTTGCAGAAATACACCATGATATTTTTGTACACTGATAATAGTTTAGGTAGTTTGATTCATATTAATGTAATAATCCTTGCATTTGACATAGCGCCTTATCACGTCTTCGAGATGTTTCAAAGCACTTCACAGAATATACTGTGAACTGAATGAATTGGCTGTATTTTGTTGGCGAGACGCCACAGCCAGTGGCGCACAGCAGTGTCCATAAAGTGACAGTATGAAATTATTATGTAAGTGGATTTGGTGATGTTTGAGACATTGTTCGTGCGCAAAACATCTAGAAGTTTATTTTCCTCATTATTACAACCAAAATAATGTCAGCGACAATATTAAGGAGTCTAAAGGGAAGTGGTTGAATCTCGAGAGCTTTTCAATAATTTCATTATTGTTACGAAATTCAAAGCCGTGTTTATAGCCCTGCAAGGCTATAAGACCATATGACATAGGCCCCTCGAAACTGCCCCGCCATTTAATAAGATCATGGCTGATCTTCCAACCTAATTCTATTTACCTACCCTATACCCTTATCCCTTAATCCCTCGATCCTTTAGAACACGCTGCGGTAATGTTCCTGATTCAAGCCCTTTGCTCAACAACAACTGCCATTTATATAGCTCCCCTCACACAGTGGAATGCCTCAAAGCGCTTTGTAGTGGCTGGGTTGGACATCAAGCGAGGAGGAAAGTGGGGTGGGGGCCAGGTCAGAATTTCATGGAAAATGAATATACATTCTTTGTCCATTGACACAATATTGGTGCCTTTGGTATGAAAATGTTTTCTACATCCTTTGCTTGTTCTTCTCTCTTATCCGTTCAGGTGACCATGAAGTTTGACAGTACAATGTCTTGTCATTGCATGTCTTTCCTAGGATCATTAAAAACCCTCTTTTAGAGAAGAGAACTGGAAAACCTATGAAGACTATCTTGATTAACAATGGTGGTGGATCAGATTCTTATATACTCAGCTTTGAATTCCTATATACTCAGCTTTGAATTGTCCCACTTTTGAGGTATACTGAGAAATCTGCGTAGAATTTAACATTCTAACTCAGTCTGTTGTTACTTTCCGTTCCTTTAGGCCTGAAGTGTTTCTGTATAAGCTGTGTGAGCACCAACTACACATGTGAGACGGACGGCATTTGCCTGGCTTCTGCCACCCTTTTTGGTGGAATAGTAGAGCAGTGGAAGACCTGTGTGTTCCAGCGAGATATGATGCCTCCAGGGAAACCTTTCTCCTGTGCTAATTCCAAAAACGTGTCGAAAACATTCTGCTGTAACACTGACTATTGCAATAACATTGACATCACGTTGCCCATTCCCAAAGGTAAGGACTACAGTCAGACTGGATTCTGCAAAGTGCTTTGAGATGTCTTGAAGATGTGATAAGGCGCTAAATCAAATGCAAGGATTATTATTATTACCATAGTGACCTAGGCTAGAAAGTGTGCTTAATAATAATAATAATTTGTAAACGCTTTGATATTGATGTAAAGACCAACTGTTATGAGCATGAACCAGCTAAACTGACATCTAAAGGTAATGTCACAATAAACTGGGACTCACAAGTGCATATGGATAGAGCAGTAATGTATAATAAACCAGATACCATCATTAAAAAAAATAGATTGATGTAGTCGTTCCAAGTGACGAGGTACAAAATAAGGTATCGAAATAACTAGTGAAGATCAGGAAGTGTGTTGACCTACAAATTGAATACAGACGCATGTGGCAGTACAAGATGATCATAATTCCTTGAATTACTGGTGCAACTGGGACCTTTAATAAGACAATTCAGAAATGGCCTGACAAGATACTTGGTGCACAAAATATCCACGTTTTACACCTAAAAACGTAGTTATTTTGGGAAGCTGAAATACTATCTACTAACCTGGCAGTGTTATCGGTCTGGCTGATCCATCACTGAAAAACACTTTGAAGCTATCTCTACAACAACAATAAAACAAAATTACATTTGTAAAGCAATCACTATTAATAATAATCCTTGTATTTGGTATGTCGCCATTCACATCAGGAAGATGTTCCCAAAGCATTTCATGGTTCTCTTTTCAGCATTTCATACAGTTGTTAAGTGATTTGGTTCCAATAAAAATTGATTTGTTTGTTCTCCAGTAATAGCTACTTCCAGAATTGTTTCCCCAACACCCTGCTACCATCCTTTAAACTACTGACCCTGTTTTTCAATAGAAAACCATCTTGGTGGATCAGGTTGGGGAAACATAGAATTGGCAGCTGCGATAACTGTGCCAATGTGTCTCCTGTGTCTGGCTATGTTAGTGACTGTCTATGCATTTTATGGACGACCGTGTGCCTATGGCAAAGCAAAAAGGCAAAGAGGTAATGTTGAGGAACCTGTTTGTAGCGATATTACAGAGAGAAAAACACTGAAGCATCTCATCACTGATATGACCACAGGCTCTGGCTCTGGTAAGTCTAGTGTTGTGTGTGCGTCTGTCTGTCTGTCTGTCCCTCTCTCCTTCTTTTCCCCACCATCATATTTGTGTTGAAGCTTTTCACAACATTAATGTCTCAATTGCAAAGCTATTCTGAAAATTATCATCTAATCAGCTGAACAAAAGTATACTTAATTGTGAGCATTCCCTGTACTGGCATGATTTAATCATTCTGCCTGATCATTTTCAATTCAAATGGTTCCAAATTCAATTCCTGATTGAAGAATCTCCACAAAGCTTCCACCACTCTTTCAAGGGGTTCCTAATGACTATTGGCAAGAATCAACTACAGTATTTCTGTATACTCTCTACGAGTGCCAAAAATGATCCATAGTACTGCTGATATTCTTTACAGAAATAATGATTAAAAATACTTCCTTGCCTACAGCTTAGTGGTTAGAGCACTCACCTCGCAAGTGAGAGGACCTGGGTTTGACTCCCGGGCAGAGCGAAACATTGGGCAAGTTTCCTTACTCCACACTCCTCGGTTTACCAGCAGTAAGTAGGAACACGGTTGTTTTGTCGATTTTCCGGGGATAATAATTCCTTAAAAAAATCCATGACTGTTTGTAGGACACTGCTTTGTGCAATTGGCTGCCGTGTTTTTCACACAAAATACCTAGTCGATCCATTTCAGTGTATTTTGTGAAGAGCTTTGAGACGTCGCAAAGATGTGATAAAGCGCTATATCAAATGCAAATATTATTGTTATTATTATTGCCAGGTTTGCCACTCCTTGTCCAGAGGACAATCGCCAGGACAATTGTTCTCCAAGAGATTGTGGGGAAGGGACGGTTTGGCGAGGTCTGGCACGGAAAATGGCACGGGGAAGAGGTAGCGGTTAAAATCTTCTCCTCGAGTGAAGAACAATCCTGGTTCAGAGAAGCCGAAATCTATCAAACTGTGATGTTACGACATGAAAATATCCTGGGATTTATCGCGGCTGACAACAAAGGTAATGACAGTTCCTCATGTTTTAACCCGAGACATTTTTCGAAAGGAAAGTGTAATTACTTGAATATATAGAAAATATACTGGGATCTGTTCATGAAATTGTCATACATAGAATTTTATTTCATAGAATATTACAACACCGAAGGAGGCCATTCGGTCCATCATGCCAATGGTCTCCTTTTGTGCTGCACTATTCTATGAAGGGCTCTTTGGAAGGGCTACTCAATTAGTCTCACACTCCCGCTCTTTCCCCATACCCCTGCAAATCTTATATAAAATGTGTGAAATATCAAAGGAGGGGAAAAAGCATGCCTGTTACAGTACCTTTATTTTCATAGAGATGTCACACCTCTCTAGTGCTTCACAAGCAAGTGCTTTCAAGTGTGCTGACTCTTTTGGGGGTGAATTGTTGTAGGCCTGTTTATGTTCAAGGACAGCAAAGTCCCATTGCGGGTCAAGTTAGTGGTATATAAGACCTGTGTGCAAACAATCTCCTTTATGGATCTGAGCTTCTGAGGAACCTGTTTGGTTTGGATGCTCTTTGAGTATGGTGATGGGTTTGTGTCAGACACCCGACTGATCAAAAAGGAAACTGGAATCAAACCTGAATGGTAACATTCAGATGGGGCAATTATTTGCTAGTTTCTCTCCATGGCAATGCCAAATAATAGGTTGTTGAAACCTGTGCAGAAAGGCTGAAGTCATGGTAAGTACTGTAAATGACCACTTTTCTATTTCAATAATTTTCTCTTTTAAGTTATTCAATTTGTAGACCACATCTATACTTCTGTGGTTTGGCCCAACTGGAAGACACATTTAAGAGATACTAATAATAATAACAACAAAAATAGCAATCCTTACATTTGATATAGAGCTCAGCATGTTGTTGAGACGTCTCAAAGCCCTTCATAAAACTTACTATAAAGTGGATTGACTGTGTATTTTGTGGGTGAAAAGCGGCAGCCAATTTTATTCTCTCCCCCCCACCCCATGGCAACATGCAATTTATTACAAGTCATTTGGGAATTGACAACACGCTTTTGCCAAAGCTTTGTCGAGTTGAATTCGGATTACTGATTGGACGTGAGGAAACGGAATTAAATTGAAATATTTCTGATATCCATGTTCTTCAATAATCTGTTTGGTAAAAGAAAGCAAAGCAAAAATGTCTAAGGTATTGTAGTCAATTGTATTTTGGGATAAAATTTGCTTAATTTGGATTATGATTTTCTTCTGTTAAAGAATATTATAGCTAATAACAAGCCTTCTGAATACTTGTCATCCAAATTATTTTGGAAATCTGAATGATTGTGTTAAATGAATGAATGGTTAAATAAATGCTTTTCAAGTGGAGTTATATGGAACTCAAAATCGTATGTGAAATATTGAAAAACCACTATGTAAAGCTTTGAGAAATGAAACTGAGTTGGTACATTAAAGTCAAATTTTTCATAAAACTCAGAGTGTAAACCTAATCTTGCTTTTGTGCTTTATTTTTTGAATAGGTCACCATAATAATAATAATAATGATGAAATGTTCATTAGCAAAAAGAAAAAATCCAAGTCGGCATTGCTAGATTGTGAAATTGGAATACTGTAACCTCCACTGTTTGGGAATCTGAGATTTGGATATTTCACCAATTCTTTAAAGAAATTAGCTCACGTAACTCAAAAAATGGAAGACAACACGTTAATAAAAATTAAGGACTTATAGGTTTACCTTATGATTTAACTTCCAGTGATCTTTTAGCAAATAAATGTATATTCTTACTATGTGTGCCATGTAAGACACATGATATTAAATTGTGTTATCGGAGATTATCTGTGTTTAACATAATATAATTTTTTCTACTTTTTTTCTGTCAGATAATGGGACGTGGACTGAGCTTTGGCTGGTGTCAGATTACCATGAACATGGTTCATTGTTTGAGTACTTAAATAAATACACAGTGACAGAAAGTGGCATGATAAAGCTCGCCCTCTCTGCAGCTAGTGGACTAGCACATCTCCACATGGAAATAGTTGGTACACAAGGTAAAACATTCACTCTTCATGTCATGTTCATTATTTAAATCAGGATCGAATCTGTGTTGCGGAGAATTGGACCCCGCTGTGAGATAATTAAATTCTACAAATCATTCTTCATTTGCTCATCGTTCCCTTACGTTAACGTCAAGTGGGAAAAACAACTTCCAAATTAAGACCTGAGTTTGGAAATTTTTCCACAATTTTTGCACCACCTTAAATTTTAAGACAAAAATATTCTGCGGCTAGGTGTTATTTAAAGCCTCTGGTTGTAAAAGGATGGACTATTACCTGTATTGGGAATAGTATTACCGCCTGTCCCCCTACATCCTCTCTTTTAGATCACGACTGACAATCTTCCTCTTCGACCGTGCTTACGGTCACCTCCTCCCTCGCCCCTCCGTTGATGTTAAGTGCTCTGAGACGCTAACCCACGTGAAGGGCGCTATGCAAATGCAAGTTGTTGTTACCTGTATTATTATTGAAAGTGCTTGTTGCTGACACTCAACTAGCCAGCACCGACAATCCTACGTCTATGATAATTACAAAAAAAATAGATTTAACACTGATAAGAGTATTGACTTTTAAAATTGTCAAACAATTTCTGAGATTCAATACAATGTACGCGCCTGTGATGGGGATACGACCTTTTAATAAGTTATTTCTTCTAACAGGTAAACCTGCTATTGCTCACCGGGATCTCAAGTCGAAAAATATTCTAGTGAAAAAGAATGGAACGTGTGCTATTGCTGATTTAGGCTTGGCAATTCGGCATGATTCAGTCACTGACTCCATTGACATTGCAAATAATCACAGAGTAGGAACTAAGAGGTATTGTGAAAATCATATCAAATATATAGTATATATTTATATGTGGAGTCCTGTAAAAAACTATATATGTGGAGTCCTGTAGCTCAGTGGTTAGAGAACTCGCCTCACAGGCGAGAGACCTGGGTTCGATTCCCGGCATGGCGTAATCTTGGGCAAGTTTCCTTACTCCACACGCCTGATAATAATCCTTCAAGAAAAAAAAACGAATAAATTGGTCACTTCAATCCACGACTGTTTGTGGGACGCTGCTGTGCGAAATTGGCTGCTGTATTTCGCCCACAAATATACAGTCAATTCACTTTACAGTATATTCTGTGAAGCTCTTTGAGAGGTCTAAAAGACGTGATAAGGCGCTATATCAAATGCAAGGATTATTATTATATAATCGTATGCATGAGTGGTGGTTTTGTATGCCTTTAATTTGCTATTCTTTCTGTATTATTTTGGAATTCCTTGCCAAACTAGAAACAACTATTATAATAATAATAACATTAGTTGCATTTTTATTATAAAGTGGGTTAGCATTGGAAAGAGAAGTTGTAAATTCAATCCAGGTTTCAAGTAACATGAAGAAATGGAAATTTGTTTTGTGATCAAGCGAAGCAGTGACCCATGGAATCGTATCTGAACGGATATGAGAAGCGATGTTATTGGGGGATGAATTGAGGGCTGAGTCTTTCTGAGTATGCACAAAGTGTTTTGGGGAGCTCTTTACTGCTTGTGGCATTTGCTAGCTTTCTCCAAAAAAATGCTTCCTTACTTCCATAGTGGAAGGTGAAGGCATTCCACCTGCTGCTCCCGAGGCAATTACACCCTGCGTGGAGCATGCTATATAAGTGCAAGTTGTTGTTGTTGTTGCTGCTGCTACATTTTGAGTAGCTCCATCGAAGTGCATTGCTGTTTTCAATATGTTTACTTGGAGAAAATAGCCTCTTAACTTACATAAAGTTCACATATTGTTGTATTTCAGGTACATGGCACCAGAGATTCTTGACGACGCTATGGAAATGAAGAATTTTGACTCGTGCAAACGTGTGGATGTCTACGCCTTAGGCTTGGTACTCTGGGAGATAGCACGCAGATGTTCCATTGGAGGTAAAAGACAGAGAGATACTTCATTCATAGAAATGTTCATTCCAATGTGAACTATATACCCATATCAGAGTTGTTGTGCATGGGCTTATGTCAGGTCCTTGACTGTGTAAACGTTATATCTGTAAAATGTGAACTATAAATCTCGAGCCATTTCATATCATCTTTTGAAACATAATTGTGAACTTGCTATTTTGTTAATCCTTTGGTCTGTAAATCTTCCAGTTTGTAGGCCTGAAGTTTATGACAAACTTCATATGTTTGCAACTGGACAAATCTATCATTGGCAATCATGTGAAAGTATCATTTTTTTGTACTGATTGCCCAGCGCCTTGGGACATCCTCCTGACATGAAAGGCATTATTAAAATATAATTTTATTGTTGTGTTTTCAGTGTTCTTGATCATTGCAGCAGTAGAACAGGAAATAGGATGTGGCAGTGGTTTTAACGTAAGATTAAAATTACATTTTATCTGGCCTATCAGTGTACTATGATTTCTGCTCAGAATGATGTCTGTGAGGAGGAAGGTTGCTATAGGAAGCAAGCCAGGTCTGATGAAGCTTCATTCATCTTGTAGAGCCTGATAGTGGCAACAATGCCAGTAAAACTTACTTAAAACTTACTGGATATTGATGGATACTATGTACATTACATTTATTTGTAAGAATCTGTAAATGGCATGTTATTTATTATCGATATCTGGTTCTAGGGGGTTGGAAAATGGGCTTGTTAAAATAATAATAATAATAATAATCCTTGCATTTGATATAGTGCCTTACCACGTCGTTGAGATGTCTCAAAGCGCTTCATGAAGTGGATTGATTGTGTATCTTGTGGGCGAAACCCGGCAGCCGATTCCTCAGAATAGCTATATTAGAATTTCTGTGTTTGATAAAATTAATATGATGTGAACATGAAGTGTTTATAAGAAAGCAGTATTTTGTGGCAATGGCATTATTAGTAATGAATATGCTTGCATTTGACCTAGAAATCCACGATGAGTACCAGTTGCCTTATTATGATCTGGTTCCTCCTGACCCCTCCATAGATGACATGAGAAAAGTAGTCTGTGATCAAAACCTTAGACCAAGGGTTCAAAATCAATGGGAAAGCTATGAGGTAAGACATACTCTATTTTATCAGTTAAATGTTTGTAACTTAAGTAGTTTAATGATGTACGCTGCTACAGTTTTTAGTTAAGTCCTATTCTGCAACATATTCTAAAGCATAGTTTGAATGATCTACAAACATTTGCAATCGTGCAAAATGTCTGTCTCTTCTTGTTCACAGTTCGGATGCTGTGGCCTTGTATAAAGTTCACACACAGCCTTTCTGATCCCTTGCCTAAAACACTAGTTTTAAACACACTGTCTGTAATACCAGTAACCTGCTTAGAAGAGCCTTGGGTAACCTTACCTTGATGTCAAACAAACGTTACGTGCAGTAAGTAGAAACCCGGTTGTTAGTCGATTGACGGATCCCTTTCCGGAGGTAATAATCCCTCCTTAAAATGAATAAAGAAATAAATTTGGATTACTCAATCCACGACTGTTTGTGGGACGCTGCTGCATGCAATTGGCTGCCATGTTTCACCCATAAAATATGCAGTCAATTCACTTTACAAGTATATTCTGTGAAGCGCTTTGAGACGTCTCGAAGATGTGATGAGGCGCTGTATCAAATGCAAGGATTACTATTATTGTCTATACATGACTCAAACTGGAGCAATGCTTCATCCTCTATGTTATTAATCATTATATTAAGGTTACATTTCATGCTCTTCTAGTTAGCTGACTAAGAATCCTAGATACTGTATTATAACATTTTAGACCAGTTAATAATAGGGTCTCACACAGTGGGAGGACATCTCAAAGTACTTCAGTGTAAAGAGTGACTGTATTTTGTAGGTGAATGCAACAGCCAACTTACACACCGCATTGCCCCACAAACAGTAAATGACTAATTTTATTTGGGGGGGTGCAGGATCATGGGAAATACTCCCTTCTCTTTTTGACTTGTGAATAGGCAGATGGGACCTCGGTTTAACATCTCATCGCTCTTTCCCTTCTCCCACTCCAACGCTGCAATGGAATGTCGACCTAGACCATATGATTTACAAGTGCTGGCCTGGGGTTTGAAACCCACAACCTCATCACAAAGATAGCTGAAATATCTTCAACGCACAATCACCAATATGTTAAATTTGTTCAATCACTGAATTCTCTGGTCATTTGTTTCCTATTCCTAATGTACGTGTTAGAGAAACTGCTTTCAGGTCAAATGGGGTGATGTTCGGTGAATATGATCTTCCAAGGTTCTTTTTAAAGCTCGATTTCTCAATTTAATCCATGTGACGAATTAAATTGAGATTATTATTATTATTATGTGCTGGGTAGTACTGTATTATCAGCTGAATGCACTTCCTTTGTGGCAGAGAATACTGGGAGATTTTTATTAGACCTTTTATACCAGTCTGATTTGTTTCTGTAGTACCCAAACCAGGTTACCTTCAAGGCTAGCTTTTGCAAAGAACATACAGATTATTTTCCATTGAAACCAAATAGCTCAAATTATCCCCAATGCAATTTAGTGGCACCAGTAAACCCCGGCTGTATATTATATGAAACCAAGTTGGACTTTTGTTTTGTTTTGTCTTTAAAGGCATTACGGGTAATGAGTAAAATCATCCAGGAATGCTGGTATGCTAACGCAGCAGCTCGACTCACTGCACTTCGGATCAAGAAAACCCTTTCTCAATTAAGAATGGAAGACGTCAAAATTCAGTTGTGAACCTTTTTGACCCAAGGCAAGGACCAATGGATATTTTTGTATAACCTCATGACAATCTCCAAGTGCCCCAAACCTCTGAATTGATGAGTTTTTTTTTTACAAACATGTAAAATCCTTACAAAATGTAAAAAGAATTATCATAATTATTACCGTTGAGAGGCAGCTGTTATGCAGGGTTCTTATTTATAAAGGTGTGTCAATGTTTAATCTGATCGTAGAACATTTTCAAAGATATCACACACTATTCTAATGTAACCGGCATAATATTCAGTGGTCGAGAGTAACTCTTACAAGTGAAGTGACCCTTGGGTTAGCTCTAATAATTGGAGGAATGGTTCGACCAAACTCTAGGTGTATTACAGCCATTACTTGTGTTTTTGTCCATGACATGGCAAGTTGACACGTTATGTTACATGCTACAGTTCAGTGTTACTTTATTTAAACTATTAAATTATTTTTATTAGAATTATTGCTGGGATGTGTGACGGTTTTAATGTGCAAAATTATGGATGCGTACTGTTTGAATGAACACCACCTAATTTATTATAGTGTATGTATAAACCCATAATATTGTTTGTGTGATTAGCATCCTTTATTTGTTTGATACTGTATAATTGAAGCATGGAACGATATGGAAGTGGAAACATTGAGTGGGATATTTCTCTGTGAGAGAATGCTGCTGTCTTTTTCAAACCTTCAGTATTTTAAAGTAACTTTTTCTCTTGTGGTTTTCTTTGCAAAAACCTGGGTTATTCGGGTTTGTCATGTGACAATTAGTGAGCTTTTCATTATGTGTTTAAAATGCGATTCCATTAATGTATAAATTATATATCAAGTTTAACTCATCATATGAATATTTATTTTTTGTGAAATAATATATTTAGATAAAATATATTTGTATTGAAATGACAGGTGTAGCAGTGAATGACTATCAACATATTTTTCTGAACTTAGAGTGAATTATTAATCAGTGCATTGTCTTATAATTGCATAGAATTGGGTCCATTGCTTACTGATCACTTAAAAATATCCCATTATAAAAAGTGTAACAAAAAACTGCCATTTTTAGTGATCAGTATATGATAGACCCCAATGAATTCAGATTCAGAAAACTGGCCCAAATTATATCCGTTCATATCTGGTTTCTTTAAAAAAAAGGGTACATTTATCTCATAATAAATAATAATAATATTAAATTGGTCATTCAATCCACAACTGATTGTGGGATACCGCGGTGTGCAATTGGCTGCCGCATTTCGCCCTCAAATGTACAGTCAATTCACTTTACAGTATATTCTATGAAGGGTTTTGAGATATCTCGATGATGTGGTCATCATCAAATGCACTTAGAATTATTATTATTATTATTATATTTACGTTCCCAAACATGTCATAACTGGGTTTCAGAATGCTCAATTATTTTTGAATAATATGTTGAAGCCATATTTGACGCACTTTTAGGATTATTGTAACTTTCATTTTCCAACCTGGAAAAGTTTCAGTGAAAATTCAGTTGATAACACTGGCCTATTTTATTTTTATTGATGAGCTTAATATTTGGAACAGAATACTGTGAAATAGTAATGTGAATAATGATGTATCCCATGAGATGGCCACCAGTGATGTTCACCTATGAATATAATATTGTCTCTCTACATTATGTTTTTTTTTAATTCTATGAATGAAATGTTTTAATTGAGCATTTGAAAGGAAACCCAATGTTGCATTCAAAACAGGAAACTAATATTTCTTCTCATTTATGTTGACATTTTAAAAAAAAAGTGCAGTTACTTCATATATAGTTTGTTTTTATCCTATATATATATTATTATATAATATATGTGTTTGTCAAATTCACTACCAGAGGTTCGATAAAAAGTTGTGAAGTTAGACCATTGAGCAAAGTAATAGTTGCTCAAGAGGTTTCATTTCCATTCTCTCTTTAGTAAGATACTCTTTCTTTGTCCATATCCACATTTAAATGAGAAACATAGCCTCTAAAATTGAGCCACGCACAAACTTCACAGTTTTAAAATCCTTTCTTTTAAAAAAAAACCCTAGTAAATCTACTTTTCCAAAACGTTTAATTGTCACCACAGCCTCAAAGGAGATACAAGTCATAATGTAGTAAACTGTATGTTGGTGTTTGTGAAGGGGAGAGGAAGATCATTCGATCACCGTTTTCAAAAGGGGAATGAAAAATAATAAGACCTATCATTAATGTTTGTTTCCTATCAGTAATGTTTGTGTCCTATACTGATGTTCTTCAACGCTAAGCAATCCTACTAAATTATAAAGAGAAAGCAATTTGCAAGCTGTTTGTGGTGGTCCATAAGGCATTTTTTTTCCCCCTCTGCCTGCTGACGTGGAAATCTGTGGTTTGGATACTCTTGAGTTTGCTGGATGTTTTCCACATGTGGCTGATCAAAACCAGTTGTGAAAAGAAAGCCTTTAAGTTATTTGTAATAGTCCATAACGGCATAATAAATGAGATCTTGTTGAGTAATGAATTCCTAAGAAATAACTGCGTTTATTTTAGCTCCTCTATTTATCGTTTGAAAAACACAGAGCCTCTTAACAGTATTCTAATAACATTGCAATTCCAACAGCCAATGTAAATAGTCGAATGATTGTTGAGCCCATTTCTTAAAATGACACGTTGTTGTCCTATTATCCAGTGTTATCTCAAGTAATTTTGCACAACAACTCTGTATGTATTAGCATTTTGATATAATTGGGAGCAACGTTGTAGCTTTTAGTGGAAAAAATAAAATATTTAATAAATGGTAGGGGTGACATTGGTGGTGTTGCTTAACTCAGTTGTCTGAAAAATAAACGAAGAAAAATCAATGTGGAAGTTATTCGATGTACCAAAGTAAAACATTGTATGTAGAGAATTTGTCTTTCTCTTGTATCAGCAATTGTACTCAATGCGTTTTGAATGTTTTATATAAAAAAAAGTCTGTAGAGGCGTGATGCTTTCTATTCGAAAAAACATTGGACCAAATGCATCTGATAAACTGGTGGAACAAACTGAATGGCCTCTTCTGTTCCTGTTTTTTCCTACGTTCGTCAAAGTGAAATAAATACGATTTGAAAAGGAGTGGTTATGTTTTGTGTTTGTATAATGATAAAAAATCTGCGCTTGCGTATGTGCGTGTGTGTGTGTGTAATATATTAGCTTTTTGATATAATTGGGAACAATGTTGTAGCTTTTGGTGCAAAAACAAAAATATTTGATAATGATACACAGGTGTCTCTCACCAGCACCGCTTTCTTCCACCTCCGACGGATCTCCCGTCTCCGCCAATACCTCTCCCCAAAAGCCGCTGAAACCCTAGTCCATGCCTTTGTCGCCTCTCGGCTGGACTGCTCTAACGCCCTCCTCTCCGGCCTCCCCTCCACTACCATCCATACAGTCCAACTTATTCAGAACTCTGCCGCCCGCACCTCACCCGCACCACACTCCGCTCCCCGACCCCCCAAGTCCTGGCCCTCCCCCCCCCACCCCCACACTCCGCTCCCCGACCCCCCAAGTCCTGGCCCTCCCCCCCCACCCCCACACTCCGCTCCCCGACCCCCCCAGTCCTGGCCGGACCGCACTGGCCTCCTATCCCAGAGAGGGTCCATTTCAAGACCCTCACCCTCGTATTCAAGTCCCTGCACTCCTCTGCACCCCCCCGACCTCTCTGACCTCCTCTCTCCTCAAAACAGGACCCGTTGCCTTCGTTCCTCTGGCTCTGGCCTCCTCCTTGTCCCCCGAGTCCTCCCCTCCACCCTCGGCGGCCGTGCCTTCAGCCACTATGCCCCGAGGCTCTGGAACTGCCTTCCTCACTCCCTTCGTCTCACCCCCTCCCTTCCCATTTTCAGGTCTCCGCTGAAGACCTTTCTTTTCGAGCGCGCCTTTGATCAGCTCCCCCCCCCTCCCCCTGGCCCCCCCCCCACCCCGGCATGGCCCCGGGATCCATTACTGTAAAGTGCTCTGAGACGCCATCCAGCGTGGAGGGCGCTATATAAATTCAAGTTGTTATTGTTGTCTGTGTTTCGGCAATAGCTCAGCTAGGAAATTTATTTGGCGAGTATATGTCATTAACAGTCTTCCATGTACCTCAATGCTCGCTAAACATTGGGTTTACAGACCTCTGCAGGAGTGTGCTGGAAATCCAGTCACTGCTTTAACGGCAGAGTTTCTCTTTGTAACAGATGTTAATATTTGCATATTATAAACCATCTGTTCCATTTGACACCGGTGGCAATACTGCTAAATATATACAGTAGCATTGGTACATCATTGCCGCCAGTAAACATTTGTTCCTCGGATCATCTTACTAGTTAGGGCTTTGACTTGCACAATTGAAAACGTGTCTACATCTTCGAGTGTCAAACAGGCTAGGCAGCTCGATTAAACATCGACTGTGCCATGAGTTAATGCAGACTATGTTTGCAATGTTCAACCCAAGTGAGACCTAACACCCTCTTGCCTGCAAAAGTTCTTTTTTTTAGCAAAAGTAACTGTGACTTGTGTTAGAATCATAGAATCGTACAGCACAAAAAGAGGCCATTCGGCCCATCGAGTCTGTGCGGCTCTTTGAATAGAGCAATTAATGTCAGTCCCACTCCCGGCCCTTTCCCCATAACCTGCAAACCCGTCCTCCTCAAATACCCGTTCACCGCGTTTTTAAAAGTAGTTATCGAATCGGCCTCGACTGCCCTTTCAGGCAATGCGTTCCAGATTCGAACAACTCACTGCGTGAAAACATTTCTTCTCCCCTCCCCTCGGCTTCTTTTAGATACTATTTTGAATCTGTGACCTCGAGTCACCGACACTCCCACCAATGGAAACAGTTTTTCCCTTTCTAACCCGTCAAATCCCCTCATGATTTTGAAGACCTCTATTAGGTCTCCTCGTAACCTTCTCTGCTCCAATGAGAATAATCCCGGCCTCTCCAGCCTCTCCTCATAATCACAGTCCCTCATTCCTGGTACCATCCTCGTAAATCTCC